CACCATCATCATAGGGGTGCTATATATAGTGGATGGTGAAAATTTGGAGATTTGTACAGTGAAAGTGAATTGAAGATGTCCTGATGGCCCAGGACCTTCCTGAGACACTTACAGTTATGGCCATAGGATTTTGAACACTGACATAGTTGTTTTGGGGTTTTTTGTATAATTTTGCTTTGAAATGAAAAGAGTTAATTTTTCAAAGGAGTTACAGATCTAACCCTATATGCTATAAATTGAAAAATGAGAGGCTGTTTTTTTAGTTTAGTGTGACTGTGTGGGTGGTGTGCTTTTTGTTTTTTTTGTTTCTAAATCTAATCAAAACAAATCTGCCAATCCACTGTAGCTTTTAGCTGTATTTGCTGATTTGTCTCTGTTGCTTTTCACCTTTGTCTGACCTCAGGCTCCAGTGCTGCAGTATCTTTATTACCTTGCTCAAGTCGGCATTGCCATGTCACCACTGAGCAACAACAGCCTGTTCCTCAGTTACCACCGCAACCCACTGCCAGAGTATCTGTCCAGAGGCCTCATGGTCTCCCTGTCCACCGATGATCCTCTCCAGTTCCACTTTACCAAGGTTGGTATGAATCCACACATGGTCTCACTTAAAGCACACAGTGTGAAAGGTTATAGAAGCAAATTGTAGAAATCTCCATGTTTGCTTGTTTGGACCCAGGAACCTCTGATGGAGGAGTACAGCATTGCCACTCAAGTGTGGAAACTAAGTTCATGTGACATGTGTGAGCTGGCAAGAAACAGTGTCCTCATGAGTGGATTTTCACACAAGGTAAACTAATTTAAAGCTCTCTTCATGTATTTGTGTAGCAGGGATCACATGTATATGTATGCACTGCACATATCCACACAATCCATTGCAAGTCATTAAAATATTGTTTGATCATAAATAGTATCCTTTACAAGTTTTTTGTTGTGGAAACACTTAAAAAATCTCTTTGAATTATTGCTCAGCATTAAATAATGTAACATTAGGTTAGAAATACATTTTTATATAATGTGGTGCAAGACTTCAAAAAATTAAAATCATTGTGGGCGCCACTTTGGCTCAGTGGGTAAGCAGGTGATCACATGCCACAGGGCAGGAGTGAACTTGAGTCTGACCTTCTGCGTGTCCTCTCCTCTCTCCTCCCCACTTTCCTGTCCGTCTCCACTATCCAATAAAGGCAAAAATGCCAAAAAATAATGATGGTCCCACACAGACCAACTTGACAGTAATTAATAAATCTTGAAACAAATCTAAAGAAAAATGTAAAGAATTAAGAATAAATTAAAACATTCAGAGTGAGGTAGGGTGCAGGCACGATGGCCTACAGGCAAGTGGAGGTACAGTAGCTGAGCTCGACTGAGGAAACCCTGTAACAGAGCAAAACACACACACACAGAGCCACCACTAGATGGCGAAGCGCCATCACACACATACACTGAACACCAGTGTCAACTATGTATTTTCCTCTCATTCCAGGCCAAAAGCTACTGGTTGGGTCCAAATTACGCTAAGGAGGGTCCTGAGAGCAACGACATCCGCCGCACCAATGTCCCGGACATCCGCGTGGCGTACCGAAGCGAGACGCTCACCGAGGAGCTTCAGCTCATCACTCACGCTGTGCGCACGGACGAGCTGGACGCTATCGACGAGGAGGACTCTCTCACCATGGGCTCTTTCCCGGGACGGCGTTGAAATCTGACAAAATGTAAAATCCCCAAACCCGTGGTCCACTCAGCATGACACTGAAGACATGTGCTGTGAGAGAGCATAAACACCACCACAACAATTGTACAAGTATTGTCAGCTGCACAGCTATGAAAAAGCCAAGAATATAGTTCTGCCAGAACACTTAGGCTCCACTTACTTTAATATTGCCATGTGTTATTTTATTTAAAGTTTCCCCAAATGTCCATTGTTTGCAGTCTGAGTCAGTTCCATGAAGGTTTGCAGGGCCTGCCATCTGGGTTTTCTGAGATTGAACAGCAGGGAAACGTGTGGTGTATTCCTGTCGTGTCCTGTCCATCAGATGGTCCCTGTGGTGTTTTCTATTAATTAGTAACTTGCTTTCATAGTAGTAGCTGCAGTATTTACACTGACAACCAGCACATTTAAACCTCTCCTGTTTTGCTCAGCCTCTTCTATACTTAGTCATTCTGTTCTTTCATTTGATTACACACAAATAAAAAATTACTGATGTATTTTTGCAGGAATAACACGCTTTGATTGTTGGTGGAGGTTGGACTTACCTGCACAACAAACTTTGACGGGCCTCTTGTTTAATCTACTGAATGCTGCAGCACTAAATCATAGCTGTGTGTGTCTTGCTTGGCGTGGTTTTTAATCATATACTTGCTAAATTGCACTTTCTAGAATCGTTCTTCCATGATTCAGTCAGCACAGAAAGAAAAAAACTCCACAGTTGAGAGGAGAGAAGCAGGCTGATGCAAACATTCCTTGAAGCGAATGGGACTCTTTAAGCAGCGTACGAAGCGACCTCGTCAAAAATGATGAGATGTTTGTGTGCTGAAAGAGAGACACTGTAGATTTTAATCACAGCACAAAAAATGTGGATGAGTTCTCACCTCACTGTGACCACAAACCCCCCTCTGTATGTCTTAGGGGCCCCAATCATTCTCATTCCTTTTATTAGACAGTCACAGAGGTTTTTCCCCTTTGCATGCAATGCACTGTACATATGCACCCAGCCAAGGTTTCACAGTGCCTTTTCATTTTTAGCTTTGAGCAGTGCATGCTCTCTTTCTCGCCTGCTTATTTTCCCTCAGTCGATAAACACTGAGCATATACGCGCTTCACACCGATTAGCTGAAAGCACCTAGCTGCATGATCAGTGTAAAGTAGCTTTTACTTTGGCCTTTAGGAGGATCTATTACCGGTTCTGTGAGTATGTAAATGATTTTTTTATTTATTTGCATGTCTGCATGATTAATGGATGGCAGGAGAGAATGAGACTGATGTTTACAGCAAGCTTTAATGTAAAACATCTAAACTAATTCAGGGCTGCTGATCAGCTTTCAATCCAGAATCTGTTTTGTAATGTAGCAAGCAGGTTTGTACTCGGTTCTGTTCACCATGTACAAATTCACAAACCATGCTGGGACATGGTTAAGACATTTGCATGGTACTTGTAGCATTTTTTTTTTTTTTTACTTGCCCCAAACCTGGTCAAAGCTGGTATCACCCACCTCGGGATTTTTGTATTATAACATCACACTGCCTGCCACTGGACCTCCCATCAAACTGCTAGCATACTTGTTAAACCCCAGTCGAGTAAGACTTGATGCCAAGACTAGAAGAGAACGAGTCAGAAAGTATCGGGCTTTATTTGAATAACCAGCTGTAAAGTATTAGGGTAGGAAAGTGTTTGCTTTAGAGGTGTTTAGGATAAAAACTGAGAATCTGTCATTTTTCAGCTATAAATCGTAGCTACACAAGTGGAGCTCTGTGGAAATGTCACTGTGGGAGTTTCTGTAAAGAGTGTATTTTTCAAAGGCAATACAAAGATGGGTAATTTTATCTAATTGATGTGAAGGTTTGACACTTCAATTTGTCTGTTTATTGCTTTTTGAATCTAAGTGGACACAGAGTGTCTGCTCTGCCTCTTTATTACTGCATTAGTTGTTATTCTTCACCTGTTTTTATTCCTGTGAACTCTCAGTATTTCAATGCAAATGTGACAGATAAAGTGTCAAAGTTGGTACTTTTTACTCTAAAGCCAAACGTCACCTCCAGCAGTGTCTGTGAACACTTTGGCCCTTGCACTTTTTCATTTGAACCAAAACACTGATGGATTTTACATCTACACTGACGTTAGCCTTTTACTCACTCGTTTAATATTCAGTTTTGACTCTGTAACATTTTGCACTGTGATTATGGGAGTTTTTTGATTACAGTTGCTCATGCTGCTATGGCATTTGTCATCTGAACCGACCCAAAACTTTTCCACCTGTTCGGTTTCTATCTGTTCACTTTTACATCTTGTTGTTTACTGTTTATTATGCTAATTATGTCCAACATATAGTCCACCCTACCTCACAAATCATGTCTTTTTGGAGCCCAGCAGCAGTATTCAAGACTGCAACTCACAGCAATCAACTGCTGACATACTGAAAACTACATAAAAGTCCCATCATAGTTTGCATAGTTCAAATTAATATATTACTCATATAATTAATATATTGAAGTCAATCGTCAGGAAAAAAGAAAAAGCAACAATTCCTTTTACTTCAGAAGCTCACGTTTCTGGTATTGTTGTATTAATACCAATATTTCAATATATAAAGGAGATTGAGCTCAGTAAATAGTAGCACATGAGGGTCAGAGATAAAATACGTGAAGTCGAGTAACACTGAGTGGGAGCCAACACAGAAACACAGCATATATTCAAACATGGCGTTAACAGTTAACATGTTCGGCATCATTTACATTACCAACCTCATAGTGCTCTAAGTATTCTGATACTCAGTGTGTGTTTGTTTTCAGCTGAGGTTTTCTTCTTTGTTTTTACAGCCATGTAACTGTGTAGACATTATTATTATTATTATTATTATTATCATTTTTATCATTTTTTAAATTCTGCCTGATTTTATTTCCATTAATCTGTAATCTGTAGCCTTATTGCTTGAGATGGACTGCCAGAGTTTTACAGATTCAGATGCCTCTGAGGTTCACGTGTAATGACTCGACAACAAAATAAAGCATGTTAATTCACCCAGGTTGTGTCACGCTTTTATTTACAGGTTATGCTGTGACAAATTAGACTCCAACTTTTTATTACAGAATTCAAGCGATTACTGATCTTATATTACACAAGACGACAACACGACTATCTGTGTGTGTGTATGTATGTGTGTATGTGTGTGTATATATATATATATAGATAGAGAGATATATATAGATTTCAAACGAGACGTAAGTATGCACTGTAAACTCAAAGCTCAAAGTTTTCAGTCTGATCATCGGTGACCAGTTTTGGTCCTCTTCTGTCCCCTTTGAGGTCCCGTCACTGGTCTCACTTAACTGGAAGCCTAAAGTGTTCACAAAAGACAGAGCAGAGTTGTCTGTGCTACATGCAGCATGCTTCTATAGAAACTCCACATGGATGGGAGAAGCGAGTGAAGCAGTGCTTTGTCACTTACGGCTAGCTGCGACCTGACTGCGTTTAACTGGAAGAAGACTCGGCCTCCTTCCTCGGGACACATCACCTTCAGCTCCTCTCTGGTCATGCCCAGAAGCGTAGTGCCGCTCACCACACCGAGACAGCGTACAGTGCTGCAGGAGATAAATAACATGGATCTGTGTTTCTCACACTTTGGAAAACCTGCTTAGTGTGCAGCAGTACACACAGCTGTGTCTTTATATACCTGCAGATTTATATAGCCAAGCTAAGTACCTCCCATGATTCACTATCTTGCAGAGCCGTTTTTAGCAACAAAAACATGAAGTGATCATTTTCTGTATGACTTTAACAGTTTCTCGTGTAATTATGGAGAACTTTTGGCCCACTCTTCTGTTAAGTTGTAGACATTTGTCCATGCACAGCTCTCTTAAAGTACCACCACAGCATTTCAGTCAGTTGCAGGTCTGGACTTTGGATCAACGCCTGTATTTTTTCACTTTCAGTGATTCTGTTGTAAATTTACCGCTGTGCTTGGGATCATTGTTGCATCACTCACTTTTAGCCAAACATGGTAGATGGCCTCACATTAGACTCTACAAATACTGTGGTACTCAAAGGATTTTGTGTCAGTTCAATGACTGCATCATACCCATTGCCTGTGGCTGCCAACAAAACCTAAATCATCACCCCTCCATCAATGTGCTGTCGGGTGGTATGAGGTGTTTTTTTTTGTGCTGATATGCTGTGTTTGGCTTTCCCAAATGTGGCCAAACATTTTGATCTCATCTGTCAAAAGGTCATTGTTACAGAAGTCTTGTAGTTTGTTCTTAGTGTAGCTTAGGCTTGGCAAACACAAACCATGCAGCCACATTCTTTTTAGAGAGAAGAGGCTTTTTCCTGGCAATCCTTCCTAACAAGCCATAGTTGTTCAGTCTTTATGCTGTCAGGAACTTTTACATTTAACATGCTGAGAGTCTGAAAAGTGTGAGTCTTGGATTTTTTGCAGTTCCTCTGCATTGCATGGTCTGACCTCGGGTTGAAAAGTCTACTCCAGGGAAGATTGGAAAATCTTGAATGTTTTTCATTTGCGAAAAATCTTTTTCACTGTAGAGTGAAAGACTTCAAATTATTTGAAAATGAGATCATTGCTTCTGTCTTGGCAATGCAAACTGCCAAGACTTCAGCTTTTATAGAGTTGCTCACACTTGCTGATGATCAGTACTTACTGCTTCCATAGAGATTAAGAGGGTAAAGGAGAACTCCGATTTTCACACGGTGCTTCTGCTTTTTGGATTAAATACATAATAACACAGTGCAATCGGTAGCGTGGCTGAGCGGTCTAAGGTGCTGGATTAAGGCTCCAGTGTGTTTGAATCCCACCGCTGCCATGAATAGTTTTGGGGCTTGAGTAAGGTACCGTCTCTACACACTGCTCCCTGTGTGCTGGATTGGTAGCTGCCCACTGCTTACTGGTAGAATGGGTTAAATGCAGGGGACTAAGCAATTTCCTACAGGGTTAATAAAGTATACATTAATATGTCATGTTTTGTTGTTCAGCTAAGGTTGTTTTTAATATTTATACTTAACAGACTGAAAAAATGAATAAATAAAGCTGAAATGTATGAAAATTGCGATAATTTTGATAATTGATAACACTAATATTAATATGAAGGAGAACAGAGATGATTGCAGATGTCACAGCAGGTTGATCATCCACATCTGAGACCATTTTTGCTCTTTAACGGTTTGTCCACATTTGTCCCTCCTCCCTGATATTTCAGCTGATCTTTCTGACCTTCATGTTTCTTTTTATGCAGACACTGGATAGTAAATGCCAGAAACTAGCACCAAGGTCACCTGCACAGCCAATTCATTACATTAGGGAGTGAAGAATTCTGGTTGTACTCACATTTTACTGAAGCCCTTGTCTTCGAGCCAGGCTTTCACTTCGGCAGGCTTGGACCTCTTTGTTAGGACAGGTGAGGCCACAATTTCCTTTGAAAATGGAACGATAATGTATTATTACTTTAAGTGTAAAGTAGTATTACTTTAATTAAGTCTGAAAATAAAAATGCACATACAGCTTGCTATATAGTTTAAACTATATGATTATTGGTTTTTGCTCATGTCCGTTCCTGTTTTATTTCGTGATTCCTGGTCTCTTTTACACAGTTGAAAGTTTTACTTCCTGTCTTTGTTGGGCTTTCTGCTTTGTTTTACACAAGTAAACATCAGATTAGAAGGGCAAAAACACTCAGCAGTGACTCATTACAAGTAATGTTTCTTGTATTTATAGCAAATTCCCAGTTTCCTGGAGTGTGGAATGAAACAGGAATGGGATCACTCCCATTAGCACCTGTGGCTTGGCAAAAGTCTAATCCTGCACAAACATGCTTTTTATTTCTTATCATCTACGCTCGGAATAATTCAGTGTTTGTGTGTCTCTACAACACTGAGTTTAATGTGAACTGTAACGTGTTCGTGTCTGCTGAGTGGTAACCTCTTCATCAGGTTGGTGATCATTATCGCTCAGGATATTACTGGGGACAAAGCCTTCCTCCCCTCTGTCATTCCTCACTTTCCACCACTGCTTGGACTTGTCCAGCAGCTGTAGGCACAAATAAAGCAAATATGGAGGCAGTTAACAAAACAAATGCGAGTAGGGACAGAAAAATCGGATGAGTCACTTTGCTGATACCTGAACTGTTTCTCCTTTTCTCACGGTGAGCTCTCTTTGGTTTCTTGAAATGAAGTCAGACTTCACATGCACTTCTCGCAGTTTTGGCTCCACTGAGCTGGGAAAAAGTCAAAATCAAAAACACTCACTTTGCACTGAATCATTGACTCCTTTGTGTGTTCATGCGTACCGTGTAGGTTTCCAACTGGCATACGTCTGTGTGGAAGAAGAAAATGGCATTGATGTGAATTTCTGTGCTATTTATTTAAGTAACTAGAAGATACCTGAATGCTTCGTTTACCTGACTGGGCGCAGGTTGCCGATCCTCCTGCCTGGTCACTGGTTTACTGGGTGCAGGTTGTGGGCTCTTTGGTCTGGCCACAGATTTGGGTGCACTCCTCTGTCTGGTCAGAGGTGGAGTGGGGGGAGGTTCTGCAGTGACTTCAGGGGGCTGCCAGCCATCGAAGAACTGCGGGTTGTAGGTTGGGATGTCCTCATCATCTTCTGGCCACTGGGTACTGATAACAGTAAGAGTACATGTTTGATTGCCCTGCTGACATTTAACAGAACACTTTCTCAGCTGTAAACAAAAAGAAGTCAAAGTATAAGAGATGTCTTGTTACACCTGGGAATGTTCCAGGCATCTCCCAGAGACTGCCACAGCTCGTCCTCCTCCGTGGACGCCTCTTCACTCATGAGACGGATACACTGAGGCGTCAGCAACGGCGCAATAATGCTGGGCGGCAGAACCTCAGGACAGTGTGACACCACCTGATGAGGGCATTAACAATTAATAACAAATATAAGTCCAGTGGAATAGTGGTGTGCACAGCCCACCCTGAGCAGGTGGAAGGCTTGCTGAGATGACAGCAGAAGGTGTCTGTGCAGTTTAAAGTCCAGCCAGTGAGCAAGTGAGATTCATATCCCCAGTTAAGTTAATTCCCAGTGTTTAAACACTCATTAACAGTTCTTTATGTGACAGCATTTTTACAAAAGCCAAACGCAGAATATCAGCATGAACACCTCATAACAACTGTCAAGCACATCGATGGAGGGGTGATGATCTGGGCTCGTTTGCAGCCACAGGACCTGGAAACCAGTCACTGAAGCAACCATGAACTGCAAAGTATTTTGAAGTCAAACATGAGGCCCTCTGTGTAACACTTCAAGCTTTCATTAAAACTGGTTATAAGTAGGACCATGATCCTAAGCAGAGCAGCATGTTTCAAACAGAACAGCTGTAAAAGAAAAGAATGGATGTGTTGCAACCTCCAAACTAACCCAACTGAAATGCTGTGGGGCGACCTTAAGAGAGCTGTGCATAAATAAAATGCTCACAACACTCAATTAACTGACACAACCCTGTAAAAAAGTGTGGGCCAGAATTTCATCACAGTGATGTGAGAGACTGATAAAGTCACAAAACAATTAGTGCTAAAAGTGTTTCTACAAGCTAATGAATCATGGGGTGCAGTCCTGTGAAAAAACATCTTTTTAACTACGTTTCACAGTCCGGGTGCTTCGGTTTTGAAATGACCTGTGTGAGGAGAGTCGGCTTTGAAGAAATGACTTTTAAAACCAATTTTGTTTTAGTCCTGCTTTTAAGCAGCTCTGTTATGCGTGATTTTTAAAATGTCCTTGCTATCTTTCCTCAGATTTCTTCCTCACTGCCCACTCTAGACTATCATTAATTTAATCCATTTATGTTTTCTGTTATATTTGCGATCGCGCACCTGCGTGTGTGTGGGTGGGCGTATGTGTGAAGGTGGAAACAGTGCTGGGAAATTCTAAAGATGTTGCCAAAAATGTTTTTAATAGTCACTTACGAATTTTAACGAGACAAAAAAGGAGCGGACAAATTCAGGAGCACTGGGATTGTTGATCTTTCCATTGAGCTCCCCCTGTCAAAGAAAGATGTCGCACATGCTGTATGTTACACAGGAACAACACACAGACCCACAGCATGATGATATTGTGTTAATGGAAAAGGGGAAACAAACCAGCAGGTTTAAGCCGAATTTAATTTTATGGAGGCATTCTTCAAATTCTTCTTGAGAGGGCATGCTGTCCATGACTGAAAAATAAAAAACAAACAATAAAGATAAATAATTAAATAAACATGCAGACATCACAGCTGCTAATATTTATTAGAATAAAATGTATTTTTATATAAATATAGAGCTTAAAGTAAAGGCAATACATTTGTTTAAATACAGATTATAGTCTCTGTCATTTTAGCCAGCCCACAGCAATCTACAGTTATGTAATGAATATAGACCAAAGCTGAAACTCACAGCTAAACTAAACTAACATCTAAAATTCTGTTTTTAATACTAAATTAAAAGAAAAAATAGAGGTCCTTCCTTTTTGATAAAGTATATAGTTAGGGTTGGATCAGGTGACCTTGAATCCTCCCTTAGTTATCGCAGCCTAGACCTGCAATAGGTCTAGGCTGGAGGTTTCTTCCTGTTAAAAGGGAGCTTTTCCTTCCCACTGTCGCCATAGTGCTTACTCATAGAGGGTCCTCTGATTGTTGGGGTTTTCTCTGTTTTCTCTGTATTTTTATGGGGTCTTTACCTTACAATATGAAGCATGTTGAGGCAACTGTTGCTGTGATTTGGTGCTACATAAATAACACTTAATTGAATTAAACTGAATTGAGTTAAACCAGGCGCTGCTGGAAGCTGTGAATTTCACACAATATGGGATTTTTTTTTCAAGTGTGCTTTTAATTTTTGCGTAAAATGACCTTTCCCCTTTTTCTTCTTCTTCTTCGTCTTCTTCTTCTTTGCATTTTTAGCTTCTGCTGCAGCTAATTGTCCCATGAAGATTTCGATGTCCCTTAAAATATGATTCAACATATCCTGCAAGAAAGAAAAAAGCCACTGAGAAAAGAGGAATTTATTCATTTATTCTTCCCTTATCAGATGTTATTAAAGATGCTTTCTGATTTAAGCATGCAAAGAAGAAGCAAAATATACTTCTCCTAAAGAAAACTCACCACATTCCTGTCCAGCTCCGTGTATGAACGAGGTACGTCTTCATGCATGAAGGGCTCCTCATCATCCTCCTCATCTTCAGGCAGTAACATTTCAGGATCGTGCAAATGGTCTTCTATACACACAACCACAAACAGATGAAAAAGAGGATGAATACGCCATCATCACACCAATAACAGTGCATCAGTACCACCATGTGTGCTGTCACAACCTTACCATAGTCAGGCTCACTCCACTGCCACGCTGGTTCAGCCGCAGGCTCTGGCTCGCTGGGTTTAGGGATTACTGCAGGTTTCACTCCTTCATTTCTGATTTTTTTAAAAAAAGGTGAGATACAGTTTCACAAAGAAAACTTTAATAAAGATTAAAGTGTATGGACACAGAAATTTTACAGTACTTGATGCCTGAATTCTGTCCCTGGCGTGCCAGTGCTAGTGAGAGATGTTTTTCAACATAGTCGGCCTGTAAAAAAAACAGAAGAAAGAATTAGAAAATCACTTGCCCTTTGCTTTCGCTTGATATGAGTCATGATGGCAGCCATCTCGGCCAGTTTGCCCTCACCCTGACATCATCACACTGGAACATGAAGACAGTGTGGTTGCGTTTTTTCCTGGCCTGGATTGACACTGTGAGCAGAGAGTTAAACACCCCGGCGTTCAGCACAGCGGTGAACTCCTGGATGTCACTGAGAGGCATCGACTCCAGCTCGTCCTGAAAAAGCACAGTAGCAAAGTCATCACAGAGGATGTTGGGTTGTTGATTCACATGTTTTTATAGCTTCTATCATTGCAGGAGAAAAGCTTGAACATCATTAAACAGTACTGTGAAAACCTCTGGAGTCACAGCTCCATGTTTTTATGTTTTGCTAGAGAAACTGAAAATATTTAAATGAATGTATTAAAATGTTTAAAAAATAAATGGCTATAGAGTACAAAAGCCAAAAACAAAGTCTGCATGATTCTAATGAACTTGAAAATAAATATTTCACATGACCACATTTATTCTTCAACACAGTCTGAATTCTCTTTGTTTTCCTTTTGGGTTTTTTTTTAAGTAGTCTTCAGGAATAGTTCTTCATGAGTCACATTCAAAGCTCTTCTTTGGAAGTTTCTGCCTTTTGTTCTGTTCTCTGTCAAAATAATCCTACACTGCTTCAATAATGTTGATGTTTGGGCTCTAGGCAGGCGATGACCGATAATGATCCGCAGTGAGTTTCTTATCCAGGTATGTTTTTACTTTATTGGTTAGTGTGTCCTAATAAATAAATAAATCCTAATAAATAAATAAGGTTTTAAAGGGTTTTAAGGTGAAATGCTACTGGCAAATGTGCATTTTCCTCTTACTGACATACACGTGGTTGCCTCTCCATGTTATTAGCTCTGCCCAGAACTTTCAACCCGCCTGTATGACACATGACAGCGGGTCTGCATTTTACGATACTTTTGATATCAGACATTTATGCAAATTGGCACAAATTTAATGATAACTCATCCAATTAACTCATTCCAGTTTAAATAGACTTTTTGTAAGCTGCACTGTGGTTGTTACCTTGTTTTCAATGTCTGTGAGTATCATTTTGGTGCCTTGCACCTCCAATTGCATGGTCTGACCCCACACATGACCCATCTCCTCCAGCAGGTTCAAACGGTCCACACAGTCTGTGATGTTTTTCAGGTCCTTCCCGTCCAGGTCACAGGTGAACAGGTGCTGCGGCACAGAAGGATTAAAACAGAAGTTTGACACTATCCAGATACAGGTACATTTGGATGTATAATAGAAAATGTTCTTAATACTCCACCTCCACCCTGCACTGAAAGTTGCCCATCATCTTGTTTATTGATGCTGCATACTCCTGCCTCTGCACTGCTGAAACACAAAGCAGGTCTTTATGTTCTTTGTTCTTCTTTTCACAAATACAATTAAAGGTGGAAGCATAGTAATAATAATAATAATAATAATAATAATAATAATAATAATAATAATAATAATAATAATAACAATTTACAATTGAAATATTTAGGATGGAAAGGCAGCAATGACATAGTCAAATGATCAGTTGCATAAGGTCATAAAAGAAATAAATATCCAATAAGATAAATCAGAGTTATATATATATGAAATTCAAACCTATTAGTACGTTTAACAGCAATGTTTACTTACAGTAAATTGATTTTGCACTTGGCCTCGACATATTTGAGAGCCGTGATGGCGCTTCATCCATCGTGGAATAACCACTGTCACAGAAAAACAAAAACCCAAATATAAACCTTTGAACCTTTGAATAAAATAAATGAATAAAGCAATCAGCCAATTGATTGTTGCCCAGATAAAAAATTGCCAGAATACATACTTGGACTGGAGTGAGTCTGCATAGCTGCTGGTATCACAGCCAAAGGGGCTGTTATTCCTGAACATACTGACTGGACTCACCTGGAACATCACATGAATCATACACACGTCATACGTGAGTGGACTCACCCACCTGTATCTGAAATCAACCCATAAATCTTCCACTTTTACAGGTTTATTGTGTTAAGTCTGAGCTAATTAGAGGAATGAAAATTAAATTAAAACGCAGAGAATTATAAACGGATCAAGAAAACAATCTTGTGGTAACACAGAAATGTGGTCAGTTACATCAAAACTGCACACCTGCAGTGACACATGACCAAACACACTGAACACAACACACAAATATGATACAAATAAAACAACGTGCACTGTACATCTAACATCTATCTATCTATCTACATATCAAAATAATTAAGGGAACACTTAAATCAGATCTTGATTAATGACATATGAAGAATACATGAGGTTCAAATCCTGACTGACATATGATGTGTGTTAGGATGCCTGGGTCGTTGACCCAGGGTTTTTGAGTTTATTATATTATTATTTCTAGTCTTTGGTTTCTTTGAGTTCTGTCTTATGGTTTATGTCTCTGTCTTCTCTAGTTGCTCTGTCTCCCCTGTCAGCTGTATCCCCTTGTCTAGTTCGCGTCTCTGTGTATCCTATATCCCCGTGTCCCGTCAGTGTCTGTGTTCTATAGTTGCTGTCTCCCCTGTCTGCTGTATCCCCGTGTCCAGTCAGTGTCTGTGTCTGCCCTGGTCCCACGTCTCTGTTCCCTTTGTTATAGTGCCTGCCTGTGAGTCTGTGTTATGTTTCCTGTTTTACTTTGAAAGTCCATGTCTGATGTTAATGTGTCTGGTTTTGGTTCCCCTTGTCTCGTTAGGCCTTATTTGCCCCCAGCTTTGTTTTCCTCCTGTTACCCATTCCCTGAGTGCTCCCTCTGTGTATTTAAGCCCTGTGTTTCTCTGTGTCTGTGTCGTGATCTACCGTTTACCTAGCTGTGTGTTCTGTCAGTCCTCTGGTGTAAGTTTGTTTTGATTTTTTCCAGTTATGTTATATTTGAGTTGACATCTGGCTCTGGAGTCTGCACCTTGGGTCCTATTCCTGTCTGCACACAGCCTACACATAACAATGTGTAGTTGGTTTAAAAGTGGCGTAATGACAGTCAGTGGAAATCAAAATCATTAAACCTTTAAAAGTTTGGATTCAAAACCACACCACGAATTCATTTACATAATTATTCAAGTTTTCCCTTATTCTTTAAATTTTATTTTGAAAAGCATGTTTTTAAATTATGTTGATAGCCGTGAATAAAGAGAAGAACTAAGTCCAACCTTTCAGCAAGCCTTCGCTGTACATCGTTCAGACAAACAATAAAGACATATTCAGTGTACTGCTGATATTGTCACCAGTTCTTACCTTTTGTTGTTAGTTCCTTATGCGTTGTTTTTGCTTCCAGTCAAACTCTGCTCATGTTTGAAACCCACACTTTGTCGATGTACGGCTTAGACTTCCTCATCAGAGAGAAGGACAAAGTCCAGATCTGTGGAAGAGCCACCTGGATGAGGGCGTGAGATCTTTAGTAGTATCCCGTTTGGGCAAAGGTTACCAGATATCGTGGAAATCCCCTCCCATCAATAAATGCTACAAAGAAAACTTGATCAGCATTTTGCATTCTTTCCATTTGTAAATATTAAGATAAGAGGACACTACTTAATTATTCTTCCATATTGGTTCAATAGTCTGCTGTTATGTAATCTGTATATTTGTTGTATTCTCTATACATAAATACATTTGGGGCTAATGCTAAATGGGTACAAGTGAAACAAGGTTAAAAGAGAGAGAGAGAAGGAAATCTAAATACCGTTGTAGCACTTAAAGTCTCCCTTTTACGTCTCCTTCCTTTAGCTTTAAATGCCCTGTTATAAATGTTCAAAAAGGATTATGACACCATCTACCTGGCTTGTTGGTTTTTATGTCCTCTTAGCAGATATCACAAAGCCAAACATTAACCAGACACAGCGTGTCACAGCATCCAGTGTGAATGTATTTAGCTCAAATGATCTATGAAAACTTTACCAGATTGAGAATAATTTGTTCACCACATTTGCTTTGATTGCTTCTATACGACTGAGATCGCCCTTCCAGAAAGTAAACCGAGGAGCCTGCTGAACAGCAGGAAGTGGCTACTGTACCATGTCATTATTTTGGGATGGTTGTACTATAAACAATGTCTCATTAAAGTTTTGCTACTTTTTTATTGCTATTTTGCTGTATTTAAGAGGGAACATGGCTCATTCAAGCCGCTGTAACTGGCAGAAGCTTTGCAGATTAAGATCTTCAAATCCAAAAATATGACAAATCATAAAAGCATGACGTTACACACCAGATTAAATGTATAAAAACCTGAAAAAAATGAGCTCTTTTGTCACTACCCAAAGCGGCAATATTATTCAAAAGTGTAATACCTTAAGAAAATGTTGAGAAAAGCCTTGAGTCATCCCTCATTTCCTTAGTTTTTATTTCCAAGGAGCCAGAACTTTTTTATGAGTGGTTTTGAGTGATAGTTCTCCAGGCTTTCTGGCGGTCTATCAAAGTTTTTCTTTAGAATTGGCTACTTTTTCACTCACTTTCAGTTCAGTCCTTGTTTGTGATCATTATCAGAAGAATGTTTTTGTTTGCAACGCTAATTAAGAATGACCTATGAGTCATTCAAACATTAAAAAGGCTCCTGAGTCAAGGGATGAATCGGTGTTGGGTCTACACGTAACAGACAACTTGGCAAAGGACCCGATTGTGTCTTTAGGCACTTTGTTATAAACAGCCTGAGACAAAAACATATAATTCTTTCCTAGAGGTGCTGTTTGCCCTGAGGCAAGGCAGATAACTGCTTAGAACCTCAAGCCAGTGAAATGCCTCCAAGTGCTGACAGACTTCAAACAACAAAAATGGCATTAAAAAAGCAGACATGGAAAATGCTGAGTGGCTCACAATTGGTCATGGATTGGAGCTAAACATTATTGAAGCAATGTGGGATCCTGTTGACAGAGAACAGAACAAAAGGCTATCAACATCCAAATAAGAGCTTTGAATGTCCTTCAAAAAGCCTGGAGAATTATTCCTGAAGACTACTCAAAGAAATGACAGGAAATCTTGACTAAGAGAGTTCAAACGGTGCTGAAGAATAGAGGTGGTCAAACCAAATATTAGCTTTCAAGCTCATTCCAGTTGTTTAGACTTTAGTTTTTCCTTCTGTGCTGTATTTCTGTGTATAATTGCACGTTTCAATAAATCTATTTCCCATCTTCGTCACAAAATATAAAGAAATGATAAGTGTGGCTGAGGTGTGAACCCTGACTCAGCTGCAGGGGAGGGGTGGTGCAGTGAACTCAAGGGTGCCAGAGAGGTTGGAGAGACAGGTGGATGTGATTGTGCTGATGAGGATTTCCCTTGTTTAGTGATGTTGGACAGCAGAGGGCAGGAGAGGGCACAGCTGACTGGAAAGTTGGCTGCCATGTGTGCCAAGCCAGGAGTGTGCAATAAAAGCTAAACAAAACTGAAAGACGGTGTGTTGGGTCGGAATCATTTACAGTGCGTAGTTTAACACAATGCAGGGGACTATATATAATAAAATCTCTTGTATTCAAAAGATTCAAATAGGGATGTGTCCAGGAAAGAAAGGATTTTAAAGCAAACATGCTTCTCTTTCTTTGTCTGTTAGACAGACATAAAAAATAATAATACATGTTTGATGAGCAAGTCATTTATTTTGTATGATTTTTAGTTGAACGCTTTTTTCTGACGAATATCAACATTTTCTCAGTCGAAGAAATAAAAAAATGAGCGCTGGAAATTGACCACCTCCAAAATAAAGAGGATACACTGCTCAGAGGCTCTGGCTGGAGGAACAGATGTTTGTCAGATTAACAGTTTAATTCATCACTGTCACGTAGATTTGTGATACATTAAATTTGACATAATTTTTTAAAGGTTTCTAAGTGTAAGTGACTCAACAGACACACGTTCAGTGCCTGCTCTGTGACTTTAACACTACAGTATGTTGTGCTGATCTCATGCTTGCTGTTGTTTAACTAAACCACTGGAGGTCAGCTGTGTTTCATTGAGCACATTTATCATTTCTGGGGAGCTGATTTGCAATTAACTCAAATATCTCTCAACCTCCAGAATCAACAGCAAAAATAAAAGTTTTAACAAAGTCTGTTTTTTTATGAGCAGACATTCACATACCAGCCAGTTCACTGGAGACACCTGTTCATCTTCTTGTTAACATTAACATGTAATCAGCACATCACATGGCGGACACCCCATGCAATGAGATTCAATTCAATTCAGTTTTATTTATATAGCGCCAAATCACAACAAAAGTCGCCTCAAGGCGCTTCATAGATACAGA